GCGGCGGGGTAGCCTAGAGGTGAAAGTGTTCGCTCGTCACGCCGAAGGCCCGGGTTCGTTTCCCACATGGGTGCAATGTGTGAAGGCCATTTCTGGTGTCCTCCGCCCTGGTGTTGCTGGAATATTGCTAAAACGGCGTAAAACAATATTCACTAAGTCACTCACTTGTTTAAAAAAGCTGAACACTCAAACTGTCAAAATACCCTGTCCCCGTTCTTTAAACATATACAGTTAATCAAACTGACTTATGTTTTCCCAGATACCTGTATTAAACGCCAGATTTCGTAGCAAGAAGTATAACAGATGAGTCTGCAGTGTGCCTTCTATATAAATGATATTTATTCCGCTGGGAATAAAGCGGTGAACGTGACTGGGATATGTTGAAGAAAGACTACAAGTGAATCAATCTAACACAAAGGAAGTTGAATTTATGCATACAAAATCTACGAAAGGCTACGGAAATAAAGGTGGGTTTCTTTTTGTCACAGATGCTGGTCAGCTAAATAGAACGATGGGAATACGTTCTATTGTGAAATTACACCTGTTCTATAGACCATATTTTAGACTTTCATGTTGAACTAGCTCCTGAAGTTTTCTTTTGCTTTGTTTCGAGCCCTTCTGGAGAAATGAACCCGGGCCTTTGGTGTGACGAACGAACACTTTAACCACTTGGCTACCTGTCTCCCAAATGAAACTGAAGTCATCTGTGGTAGGGCAACTTAGTGTAAACATGAACTGTTTCAATGAAACCATTTAAACAAAAATATATACGAAAGGCCGAAGATGCTGACCAGCCAAATAGACGATGGGAACACTTTCCAATGTGAAATAACACCTGTTTTATAAGCCTTATTATTAGTCTTTTATGTTGAACCAGCTCCTGATTTGTTTTGTTTGAATTTGTTTCGAACCCTTCTGGAGAACTGAACCCGAACCTTTGGTGTGACAAACGATCACTTTAACCACATGGCTACTCATCCCTAAATGAAACTGAATAGGTACGAGAGCGTTGATATAGTGCCAAATCTGCTTTAACAGAAGTCAGGCAATAGCACGGAGATCGACACATCAAATGGGCTTTATCATTTTACCTGGGAATCGAACCCGAACCATCGGCGTGATGAGCGAACGCTATAACCACTAAACCACGCCACCACCCAAATTAATATTGAGTCTGCAATCCAAATAGCGACAATCTTGCTGTGCCCAGACAACAGAGCAGTAACAATACTTCCGATCATGGTCAATATATAAATTATAAAATCAATTTGAAAATATTAACATCTTCATATCTATATGTATCATTTCAAATGTTGAGCTGAGGACAATTAAATATTTAAATTTTATTGCTCTAAATTTGGCCTGACTGAAGATACGTACGCTGAGTCGCAGTCATCGGACATGGAAACAAACAAGAAACTGTTCCAAGTTAGTTTTGTCATTTAATTGAAACTCGAAAAGGTGTTTTTAGAATTGATTATGTATTCTATTTAGCCATAATTCATTCATGAGACGGTTTGTGAAAAGTCATCTGTGGTTTGGCAATTTCGTGTAAAAATAAATTGGTTCAATGAAAACCTGGGTAAGAAATACATTTGCAACCATTTGGCTCTTACCGTGGTTTGTTTCAATTATTTGAAATGTATTGATTTTCAAATGCTTTCAAAAGTCTAAGATGTGTATAATGCGGGTTTTTCATTTTTCAAAGTTTTCCAAATTAAATTTAAAAAATAATAGAACCATCTGGAAATGACTAAACGTCACTACTTGTAATATTTTACGTAATATCGATAACTTAAGATGTTTTCATTTGAAAATAAAGCATATGACCAAATCAGTTGAGAGGTATAGCTTCTTTCCCACTCTGTAAGTTAATACCTTCAGCTGAGACATTTTAAAGTTGAGAAACACTGATGACAATCCCCAAATCAATATGTTATGGTATTCTGCAGTGACTTGTAAAATAAAGAATTATGGAGTATTGCCCCGAGACAGATCTATACGTAGTTAAAGCCAGAATGTATGAGATAATACCTATCAGCATTACTGAAGGCCAGGCAAGGGTGTACTAAATCTACCAAGCTGCGCCTCGAGGTGCCAGAATCCAGTGCAACGTAAACCTTTAAGTTACTTGGCACCAGGTAACACTGATCAGATGAAATTTGGGTTTGATATAAATTTGATCATCCTCCTACTTTTCGTGCTTGTCGGATTTGATAAAAAAAACGAAGATTGACATCTTTGTTGGTCGGTAAAACCCGATAAAGACAACTGGGAAATATGACGTGTTTTCTAAGGGCTCCGGCCAGTAAAGATCCGGAGGGGAATTGGTCTTTAGCAACCCATGTTTGTCGAAAGGGACCTCTAACGGGAGGGGGTGTTTAGGCTCGCTGACTTCGCGAATTGCGTAGTTCGATCCTCATGATGTTGATCACTGGATTGTCTGGTCCAGACTCGATTAATTACAGCGTCTAATAGCGGCGTCGAACAACAAAGAAACAACATATAAAGGCCCCTTCCCAATAACACTGAAATAGTCTAAATTGTGCAAGCTCTGCCAAAACTTGGACTTCCGTTTGTGAATCTTATGTCTGTCTTCACAGATTATCATATCAGGTAGATGTTTGTTCTTGTGGGTGTCCTGTCAACCAGGATAAGCAGATGTATAATTCGGAAAACCTAAACTCCTACATACACGATCCTTGGTGATGATGAAGTCTCATTTGTTGAAAATTGCCCCATGGTCGCTTTGTGATGAATCAGTCGAATAATATTCATTGTTCAAAGTGGGTGAATGTGGTGTGTTTTGACAATACCTTGAAACCGCAGGTATTGTTAATGTGTGAGTGAGTGAATCGGGTTAATACCGCTTTCAGCATAATTTCAGTTACAGGTTCTACCACACCAAATTCCATAGTTTAACAAGCACTTTTCGTAGGGTTCCTTCAGTGCAGGCAGAATCATTTGAAGTTGTGATTTGATGATTTTGTGTTAGATTTTTGTGTTTTTTAAATGTACATCCATCAAGTATTTATACTGACCATAGTTTTCTATTATTAGTGCTGTCAATTTTAACACAATGACTTACGTTTAATGCTTGCAGAGATCAAGTAGGTGACATTTGGTTGGGGTTAGTGTGTTCCTGTACTCGGAACAGGAATTGGTTAATCAAGCAGAATCTTGGTTTTGAATGCCTAAGGACAAAGCAAGGCCCACTCTCCCTAAAATGAAACATACATGAAGCCTACCATCTCACTCCTTGCAACCATCGGGTAACACACACACACACACGCACTCACGCACGCACGCACGCACACACACACTCCTCGACATTCAGAAATCAATTTCGTCGCTAAGACGACACGACGCTATTCGATGAGACTAAACACTGACTTCCTGTGAAGTTTAGATCTTCAGTAACCCATGCTTGTCATAGCAAGCAACATTCAGGGTCGGTTGGTCAGGCTCGCTGTTTTTTCTGGTCCAGACTCCATTATTTACAAACCACTGTTATATAACTAGAATGTTCCTGAGCTAAACAACAAACAAAGTCACACAGACTGTCGACGATTGTCTTATTGCTGCAGCTGGGGAAACAAAACAACTCCTGCATACATTTCTAATTTTTGTTCTTTATTACAACTCTACATTTGTACAAAAATATATAAATATGACAGAAAACGCGACATGCATACATTATGTTACAATGTTGAAGTGTGGCGCCAGCACGGTCATACTGCATCCTGGTCTTCCGTCAGACATCAAGGGACAGGTTTACTGATAACAGAAGGGGTGTCGGGTTGAAACTGAGTTCAGTGTCCCGTAGAACACGTTAGTGAGCGAGTGAGTTTAGTTTTACGCCGTTTTTAGCAATATTCCATCAGTATTCCAACGAGAGACACCAGAAATGGCCTTCACACATTGTGCCCATGTGGGGAATCGAACCCGGGTGTTCGGCGTGAAGAGCGAACGCTTTAACCACTGGACTACCCCACCACCCCAGTTACAGGGTTAACACTGTTTCACTTCTATCGTGATATGCGTTCTCGTGTGTGACTGCCTGTTCTAGTCCGGGCCAGTGCCGGTTTTTAAGTGCTTGCTCACTGAAATACCATGCCGCAGTTTACCGCCTATGCTCGACTCAGAGAGATAGTATCTGTGCCCCGGGGCGGTGGGGTAGCCTAGTGGTTAAAGCGTTCGCTCGTCACGCCGAAGGCCCGGGTTCGATTCCCCACATGGGTACAATTTGCGAAGCCCATTTCTGGTGTCCCCCGCCGTGATATCGCTTGAATATTGCTAAAAACGGCGTAAAACCATACTCAGTCAGTCAGTCAGTCAGTATCTGTGCCCCATGTGCCAGTTTTATCCTTTTAAAGCTGAGCGCCAGCCATGGTAACAACAAGTAACATTTATATATTTTGTTGCGGGGGATGAACCTAAGATTTCCCACCTCCCGGGCTAGCACTGTAACCACTACACCACGAAGGCGGTCGCTTTTAACAGTATTTCAGTTATATCACGGCATCTCAGCTGGATGTAGGTGAAACACACGAATCTGGAGTTCGAACCCACGATAATTTGTTATGTGGCATGCGTAATGGACGGAGTCCATCGCCGAACATATTTTTGGTAAATAAAATCATGTGAACATTTCGTAGATAAATACCTAAATCATTTTATGTTACAATAAGGACAAATTTTACAGAAAAAACTTCATTTATTTCGTGATGAAACATTCCTAAAGATCCGTTGTCAGTGTGGGATAACGGTAAATGTGTCTTTATCGAGAGGTCGCACGCACAAAATAAATGAAGTTTTGTATGCATAAAATGTGTCTTTACTGTACACACCAACTTTTAAAATACCACTCAAATATGCATCTGGGGTCATCTTGCCTCTGGAACTATCGTAAAATCTGATTCAGTCACTTTTGACTTCTTCCCTAATTTACTTTCGGAAACACCTCTAAGTTTCCTTGTCGACACCCCTTGCTGTCGATGCTATTCAAGCTGAAAATAGAAACCATTTATTGTTTACTAATTTAATCTACTCTTAAATTATTTACGAAAGGTTTTCTGCATACATAAAAGTTATTTCAAAATACATATTCCCCAAGATAGAAAGAATTTATTGCACTGAAAAACTTTCACAGATTTTTCTTCTGCGAAGTGGCATTGTAAAAACACCCCACCTAATTGCATTAAACGATATTCGTCGATGTATTTTTGTGGATATTCCCAGTGGAAGTATTTTTAAATCTTAGCACCTTGATTTGAAACGGCAAAAATCAGTTTCTTTCTATTTTGACACTACTTTTTAAATCGAGCGATACGACCTAACCTTGACAGTGATGAAAACAAAAAGAGCTATACAACTTACGTAGTAAAAAGCTTCGTAATGTTTTCATACGCCTGAGACTTGGCCTAAATGATTTATATATCAGTCAAGGAAGATATTCATCTATTATAAAATCACAAAGGTTCTGTCCATTTTGTAATACTGTAGAGAATGAATGACACTTTCTATTTCTTTGTCCTGCATATACTGATTTAAGGCAACTGTATTTTCCAAAATGGCTACAATCAAATATTAATGCTACAAAACTGTATTCAATACTTTCATGTAAAGCATCCCTATTTTGTTTGTTGTTGAATGCCGCACTCAGCAATATCCAAATATTAACATCACTCAATTGATAAAATGTGTATCGTGTCATCCCACATATGTTGCTTGTGCTCTGAAAAGAAAAGAAAAATCATTTTGATATATGAATGATACAGGTTACATAATGTCACTGGAGTTAACTATCTTTAGTTGTGCGGTAAACAGTTTCACTGCCAAGTGACGACCTGACCTGAACCCGCGTATCTGCATAACACGTGCAGTCAATAACAACAGTGTTGAAAGGTATGCCGCCAATCCACGTGACACATTGACGAATACACGGAGAGCACGAACTCCACGTGCACAGTCTCGCGCCACCGGAAACACCTGTTCCATGGCGCTTTCGTTGCACACGGAACGCTAACTGTCAGAAATGGCAGGATTCGCGGTTTCCTTTTGGTTTGTTTGGTTTGTAAAACTATTACAGGACATTCGTCTTACAGAGGTTTTAGATCAATACGTGTATGTTCGAAGTTCCAAGTCTCCATCGATATACAGATGGCCAAAGTGCGTGAGTTGGGTTCTCAAGACATAGGCACCCATAGGTGTGTCTTGCCCAGAATCGATTCTTTGAAAACTGCCTCGGCATATCTTGAATAGTGCTGACGAGGGCTAGAAACAATATGGACTCACTCATTTGATGTTGGACCAAGACCCAAAGATAAACGATCATAGATGTAACCACACACCAATGAGAGTGAGTGAGAGAAGTCTTGATTCAAATCTCTATTTGGGGCGGTGAGGTAGCCTAAAGCTTAAAGCGTTTGCTCATCACGTCAAGTCGATTCCTCACATGAGTTTAATATAAAAAGCCCATTTATGGTGTCCCCCGCCGTCATATTGCTGGAATATTGCTAAAAGCGGCGTAAAACCACGCTGACTCAAACCCCTATTCAGCATATACAGTAGAACACGGATATAACGAACTCCAAGGGACCAAGAAATTTAGTTCGCTATATCCGTTGTTCGTTATTCACATTTGACCGCCATCTTGGATTGTAGAGATGTAGACATTCACAGACATTACCTATATCATGTTGATAAATATGAAGTTTATTTTTATAATAAAATTGAAATAATACAACTACAACTTAAATAAATGTATTTTTTAATGAAAATGCAAGCTTACATTTATAATGTCCAGATAAACCACGAAAGAAGCAAAAACTGTAGCGATTTTTTTTCCATTTGTGACATGTCATAACATGCCCGTGCCTTTTTCTTTTATATTTTCATTTTTATGTAATCAGGCTTTCCGTTCGTTAACATGACACAACAACGGGAAATACCTCCGTTTTCGAAACTTCGTATGAATAACATGCGAGGCGATTCGTGTGGTGTCTGGTATCGTTCGACAGCTCTGGAACATGAACAATATCACTGTAGCAAAGTTTGAGTGAAGTTAGTTTTATGCCACTTTTAGCAAAATTCCAGCAATATGACGGCGGAGGACACCAGAAATGGGCTTAGGACAATGTATCAATGTCGCCGTGACGAGCAAACGCTTTAACCACAAGGCTACCCCGCCGCCCCGAATCCTGGCAGAACTGAGGGAAACAACTCAGTATTCTAAACTGAATCATCTTTCTGCGACCCAGACGTTCTAATATGCCATGTCGCCTTTTCCAAACTATAGGATAAAACCCACTGAAGAATCTCGTGTAATTCAGTAATTCACCACGGGACGACTCGGGTAAGATATAACAAGAGCTGTCATCTTGAAATTTGTTTCTTCAATTTAATTTATCAGACTATCGATATTTTCACACAGGCTCGGCTCATAAAGCAGAATTCAATCAAATATGACATCGATGACGGCCGGAGAAAAATGAATCTCCCAAAGAAAAACAAATTCCATTTGTGAACGAAATATATTTCAATCAAAATCTCCTTGTGTTACAACACCTGCGATGTTTTGTGAGTGAGCCACGATGGCTTATGGTAGCTACCGAAATTATGTAAGCAGGTGCGAATGAGTTTAGTTTAACGCCGCCCAGAACAGTATTTTATTTGCAGCGTTTAGAAGGAAGAAATCTCGAAGTGATGCCTGTGTTCAACGTTCACTACTTTGGTTAAGCCCACTTTGGCGTATCGGGGATTCGAACCAGTGATAACAGTTTTCTGCAATTTCAGAAGGACATGACTCTGACGACTGACGAATATTTTCGATCCAAATAGGCCAACACAGTTGAAACGGTAAAGAGACCAACAAAATAGAGAATGAGGGGGCGAGTAGTTTTACGCCGCTTTAAGCAATGTTCCAGCAATATCATGGCTTCACACATATTACCACATAATACTGAACGACCTCATAACCTCATAACCAAGATCATCATCATTCTTCCTCTCTTCATCCGTGAGAGTGCTCCGGGTCCTCTACATCGTTTATGTGCCATAGTGAGTGAGTGAGTTTGGTTTTACGCCGCTTTTAGCAATATTCCAGCAATATCACGGCGGGGGACACCAGAAATGGTCTTCACACTTTTCACCCATGTGGGTAATCGAACCCGTGTCTTTGGCGTGACGAGCCAAAGCTTTATTCACTAGACTACCCCACCGCCCCTTATGTGACATAAAATGTGACGGTTGATGGTGTTACTCATGATATCCATCACGGGTTTGTCTGACCCAGATAATTGTACTCACCTGCCGCCGTAATTGTGTTGCAATATTCCCGAGCACGGCGGCCTATAACATCATTCACTTACTCGAAGGTAATCGAACTCGAGTGAGTGAGTGAGTAAATACCGCTTACTTCCGCATCAGGAATACCGCAGCCATTCCGGGCAGTGAACTGAACCAGAATCCACTGTGATTAAAACGTGGAACGCTAAGTTCAGAATGTTACATCACTATATGATGTCCGACTAACAGAGAATGTCGTAGTCTGTCTCACAGTCCCTGAACCATATTATTTTCCCTTCAGCCTAGCCCTCCCTGCTATGCTTAAGCTCTAAATGAAGCAAGTCTAGTTCTCCCCAATCTCTGGTCTCCCTTGGGAACCTTTTCAATTTAAATGGGTTTATTTGTTACAATCAAAATTATGCATTCAGAGACTAAGCGTTAGTCTAGGAATGTCGTTCAACAAATACTTTCCAGTTGAAAATATCTGTATGGGCAAAACATGGTTGTTTCATAATATGCCAAGGCTACTCTGATTTTCAAAATCGCTGTAACTCTATAGTTTTTCCTTCCTGAATTGTCCAGGAAGCCAATAATCAACTGCGTCAACTTGCTTATTTCTCTGACGTCAGATATATTGAAACATCAGTCTTGCAAAACCGTTGTGATATATAATTTGGCTTCAAGTATCTGAATAAAACTTAGTAAAATTCCAAGAACATATATTTTTAGACGATACTTGAAATGAACACATTTCCTCGTTTGCGCAGAACAGTTTGCTGTAACCGGAGCAGAAAGAAGTATGTTTATGTGTCTATTTGCGTTTTCCCTGATCTTGAGACGTCCTCGAGAATAGCACCAATACCATAATCTTGGTTAACGGGTTTCTCCAGGATTCATATAGTAATACAGAACGATCAATTCTACGGAATCGGCGAAAGCTGGTCATGGAAAGATATCATATTCCATATTATTATTCATTCCAAGATACCACATTCCCCCTTTGAACTAATAAACTTGAACTATTCATGTAATATAGTCAGCTATCCTAAGGGCATGAGATGAAAGATGCCTACTGTATTCATTTTGAATAAAGATGAAGTAAACTATCAATAATATCCTTAGCTCCATTCTCCATATTCAACTTGTCATTTTTAGATCAGTTCTAAAAATTCTAAACTGTAATGTTAACAGCCCCCCTCAAGCCCAGAGTAAATTTTGTAAACGCTAATAACTAAACAGCACAAACTTTTAACGTGCTGTAACATCATTTGCCCTACCGTTCCTTGGTGGTTGATATTGGTTCGAACCACTCTGTTGTTAATTGGCATGATGGGGCGGTTGTTGTTGGCCACGATGTTGTTTGGGTCGTCTTTTATACCTTGTTGAAGGCGCCGTAATGACGTCAGCTGCAACAAACAAAACTTACTTTGAATTTTAGAAATAAAATGCTAGTCCAGAAGCCTTGTGTGTTCAATTCCCGGTTCGCCCTGATAAAGATAAAAATACTTTGGCAGCACCACACCCTTGCTCGTTGGTGTCACCAAACGTCTGAGTGTGGAAAGTGGCTAATCCTGTGCCCACTCCTTTACAATGGACGGACATACTCTGACGTAACTGGGGTGCTGTTAAAACGACGTTATATCCGACTGGGCTGAGCCGAACGCATCCGGATATCAGAATGGCAAAGAGGGACGAGTTTTGTGTAACGGCAGTTTTACAGAAAGTTGGTTATATCACGGCGTGCTATGAGAGGAAAGCTCCAAGAGAGGTAGAACATTTATTACTGGTGAAATCCGCCCTTGGGTCCGACAAACCTAGAGACATTATCAAGACAAGCGGTCTCACGATCATAACACGTGGGCATACCTAGGGGACGCAACTCTTCCCAGCTAATTGCGGCGCCTCAGAGGAACGGGACATCCTGACACTTCATTCTGTGAGACTTTATTCCCAGAATAGTGAAGTCAAAGCGGTTCAAGGGAAGCAAAACAAATCTTAGGGAGACTTTATGCCATTGCCTAGAGGAAGGTAATCAAGAAGCACAAATTATTGATAAATCCGACATTTTCAGAACATATGAGCCTGTCAGTTTTGTCCAGTTAAATGTCAAATCAATAGATCTGACTGGAGACCTATAAGTTCTTTAGAACGGTTCCTTCACATTCTCAATATGCCAACGTAATTGACATCACCATCGACTGTTGACATGGCCGTGCCTCTCCAGTGTTAAATGTCAAGTGTATATCGATATGTTCGTGGTTGATATTCTGTCCTCTCTTCGCCAGGACAAAGTATGACATACACACTCAGCAAAATGCCACATCATCTCATCATCGAACGCCAAATGACTTCAAAATACTTAAATAAATCTCCCCGTCAACTTTTAAAGGTTTGCGTATAGGTCATGCAGCTTACCTTTATGCAATTGAGGAAGAAAGATATTTATATTTGCATTTCATATTTGGTTGTGGCAAAAACTGTTTCTTTGCGTCAAACTTAACAGACGCCATAAGCATCGATCTTTGCAACTGGCAGTCTGCGAGCCTGACAATCAGATCCCGTTAGTTGCGTTTTGGGTTGTTGAGGGCCAATAAACCGGATCTTAAATACGCAGGTGTTGTATATACACAAGCTGCAGCCTGTCACAAAAGATAAACAGACAAATAAACAGGCAGCCGTTAAACTAGACAAATAATGAATCTAACATGCTTACCATATCTTTTGAAATGTATATGGGCTTGTTGAATATGACCCACGTGACCGTCTCATAACATCCGGGTTGTGTGAGTGAGCCCTCGTACGTGACGTAATAGTTGGTGTTGGGGAAGAGGGCTTTGGCGGGGATCGTCTCTACCCGGGTTGACTGGCCTGGGAACAGATAAACGTCATGATTAAAACATGGTTCCAAACAAAACGATAAATATTTCGCAAAAATCAATTTTTGTTGGATATGATTGATAAATATCCGTTTCGGTAAGTATTGGAACAGTGATCTAATTAATTATTAAAATCTACAGTCCCTTTGAGTTCGTCATAACCGTACAACATATGGTACACCATTGTATTGGAAACCATGTGGGAATCCGACCATCTCTCCACAGTGACAGCAACTACCTTAACCACTAGGCTTTCTAAGCCTGGAAGCAGTACATCTTCTTGACAAAAAATTCGAAATGATAATTAGGAGATAATCCAACTGTGTTTACATTATGGAAGTGATTATAGTTGGTTGAACGCTGCTAAATGTTTCATGGTGCACCACAAGGCTGTGCAATATCTCCTGTTCTTTTCACCCTCTACACTAATGATTGTGCAAGCTCGAATTCAACCTGTTCAACTGTAAAGTTCGCAGATGATGCAGCAATTGTCGGCAAACTGAACGACACTGATTCTGAAGAACTGTATAAAGAGGACATTAATCATTTTACGACTTGGTGTGCAGAAAACCACTTACTCTTAAATGTCACAAAAACAAAGGAACTTATAATTGACTTTCGGAGTAAACCCACAGAAATGCTTCCAGTGATAATCAATGGTGAATGTGTTGAGACACTGGGAACCTTCATTGACTCTAAGCTGAACTGGAACTCTAACACTGAAACCCTATACAAAAAGTGTCAACAACGTCTTCATCTCATGCGTAAACTGAGATCTTTTAATGTAAACCCATCTGCGATGTTATCTTTTTTTTATGTAGCATTTATTCAGAGTATTTTAACCTTTTCCTTCCATTGTTGGTACGGGTCTCTCTCAGTTCATTTCAAATCTAAAATAGACAAAATTGTTAACACTGCAAGTAAAATCGCTGGAGTCAGATTTGAATGTTTATCATCAATATATGAGCGGCAAATCGTGAATTAAGCTGTCAAAATCATATCTGACCGTACTCACTACTTAAATTCGGAATACAACCTCCTCCCTTCAGGCCACCGCTACAAAGTCCCAATTGTGAAAACTAAGAGTTCCACTGTACCACTGTACATCCTTTATTCCAAGTACCATATCTCTCTTAAACAAATGTGAAGATACCTAAATCAAACAATTTATGTAAATATGTTTGGTATCTCTCTAATGTGTCAGTAGCTCTGCTGATGTAACACAAATTCCTGAAAAGGCATTAAAGTGTTATTCTATTCTTCTATTCTATTCTATTTAGCAGCGTTCAACCAACTATAATCACTTCCAAAATGTAAACGCAGTAGGATTATCTCCATTCTACCATGACCTATGCACCATGAATAGAACGCGTTTTAAATATGCACTCATTACCCTTGCGTAGTGTTTTGACACTACGCGCAGTGAACCGGCTCTCAGAAGTGCTTATTTGAAAACTTTTCACTTCTAATTTTTTAGTAACAGCCAATCAAAAACGAACATACTTAAAAGTCATGGTAGAATAGTGGTTAAGCGTTCGCTCGTCACGTCGAAGATCCGGGTTAGATTCCCTACATGGGTACATTGTGTGAAGCCCATTTATGGTGTCCCCGGCCGTGATATTGCGGGAATATTGCTAAAAGCGACGTAAAACTAAACTCACTCACTTAATATTTTGTGATAGAGAAATAGACTTTGACGGATGTATAGATAAACAAAGTGTCAAAAATGGTAAAATGTGTGTGCGTTCTAACTACTGTCCTCATGTCTCAGTGATCGGATGTCCCAGGGGATCATATTACGACAGGACCTAATTTCACGCTACGACGACCCGTGTTTCAACCAAGTTCATCAACATCCTACGGGACGGCAGGAGAAACTACCAGATCATTGTTTCTACAAGGCATGAAATGTAAACTTGCAGCTGACCTGTCACGTTAGATAAAGCACGATAAAACATGTCCTCATACATAATGACATAAAAGGAATGTGGTGACCCAAGGAGACATGATCAGTGACGTATCTGGGAGATGCTAGCTAGGACGTGCGGATGGCGAATAAATTCGCCTGGAGTTACATCCCCATAGTTTCCTATTTTGGAGGATGGGGTGTGTGTGCCTGTTCACTGTGGGTGAGTGAGTGAGTTTAGTTTTACGCCACACTCCACAGTATTCTAGCTATATGGCGGCGGTCTGTAAATAAACGAGTCTTGACCAGAACATCAAGTGATCAACAGCATGAACATCGATCTGCGCAATTGTGAACCGATCACATGTGTCAACCAAGTCAGCGAGCCTGACCATCCGATCCCGTTAGTCGCCTCTTACGACAAGCATGGGTTGCTGAAGATCAATATTCTAACCCGTGTTCACTGTGGAAGTTGCGTCAATTGGGCATGCCATGAGCTGAATGATAGTGGGTTCGAATCTTGGTTTACCCTGATCATATTCCTATGTCAACACCATACTCGTGCTCTTGGGTTTCACCGAAGCGATGGACGTCTGGCACGCGACGCACGCACGCACGCACGCACGCACGCACGCACACACACGCACACACACACAGACATACATACATACATGCTGCTCCTGGCCTTTGGGCAACGTATGTACCCTGATCCTGTTTGAAATGATTTTTGACGAATTTAGATATTGGATAAAAGGAAAACAATTAAACAGCCAGAACATCAAATATCTTAATAGCACGCGAGCCTCGTGTACACATCCTATATACATGTACCACCAAATCCAGTCACTCCTTCACCGTGTATTACTGGCAGCAGATTTCATCACAACATATCACTTTAACAAGAACATCTAACGTCGAAGTAAAACGTAGCGCTGTGAGATGGAGGGTCGATAAGCCTCATCCGTTCCTACTACTGAAGTCTAAAGGCCTTAATAGACAGTCGAAAAACAGTGTTATCTCAATCATAATTTCTCCGTATTCCATCTAAATTCCAGCTTAAAGCTACTGAAAACCCATTTCCAACTCAGTAAATGTCAATGGATTTCGTTAAAACAGATGACATCAAGAAATTTGATGATGTAAATTATATGCTCTTTATTACCAATTTAAATTTGCGCTGATGTTTGATCACTTCGTCAATAAATTTTAATGTGAGCGAATGTTGTTTCACACAACATTTAAGCGAGATCACGGATCTCTGCAGGTTCCCCGCCCGTCACTAAAGCTCCTTAGGGTAGTGCCTTTGTTCGAAACACGCCTCTGTTGATCCCGCGGTGAATGGGTACCCAGTAGAATGTGTGTTTAATGATTATCGATTTCCTTTGAGTGGCCCACGGACAGTTTTGATTTTGTATAGTCCCAAGGTTGGTGAGTATGAAAATGACAGTTTGGCGAATTGAATATTCACTTGGTGAGTGACTAGGTGAGTTTAGCATGGCTTTGAACATAATTTAATGTCTATCAAGCCCAAGGGGTGTATGCTCGAATATGACTGGACCTAAATACAACTATTATCGTTACAAGATATTTAATAAGAGTCAAACTAAGAATCAAACACTATAACCGCTGGACCACCCAAGCCCTTCATGGCAACGTTATAAAGCGTTGCTGTCACGCCGACCACGATTCCCCAAGGGTAGTCCCATTTCTGGTGTCCCCGCCGTGACATGAAAAGCGGCGTAAAACTAAAACTGTCATCGTCGCTGATCTAACAGTTCAACTCAGCTACGAAATTCCCCAAAGCATTTACAAATCTGGGATGATGACACTCTTCAATTGGTCTTCAGTCACCCAATGCTTGTCGTAAGAGGCGACTAACGGGATCGGGTGGTCAGGGATCGGGTGGTGGACACATGTCATCGCATCTGAACTGCTATTGACCACTGGATTGTCTTGTCGGGACTCGATTATTTACAGATCATATAGCAGGGATATTGCTGAGTTCGAAGTTTAATAACAAACAAACAAACAAACGGTTGTAGCTAAAGAACACGGTGTTTCGATTTGCTGCGCAGTGCTCACCATTTAATTGGGGCGCCAGATACCACAATGTCTCACATATAATAACAGACAGTAAAAGACTCCATCAAATGTTTATAAGATAATGATGAAAAAAATGTCAAAATGTTGAAGCAATACAAGATAAACGCCACTCCTACAATAGAAACGTTTATCTTCCGAAATTATAATGTTTTAAGTCATAAGCATCCCATCAATATATCAAAAGAGCTTTACTCAAAAAACATTAAAATGTAACGTCAAAACAGATATGCTAAAACCACAAAGTTAAATGTGATTATCTTTCGTAAATGACAGACAAGAATACTTAAGGAGAGCTTTTTTTATTTCTTGTCAGATGTAAATGATACATCAGTTCTTATTTTGTGTCATTATTTTGTTTATAGCCATGTTTCCGTACTCTGCATCAAGGCCGAACGTGCTTTCAAGTACTCCATTCACTTGTCACATTTAACAACGGTAACTAGCCAATTGACCGCCTCCATGGTGTAGTAGTTAGAGCGTCCGCCAGGAGAGCGGAAGGTCGCGGGTTCGATCCCCGACCGCGTCATACCAAAAGGCGTAAAAATGTGGTACTTGTTGGTCCCTGCCTGGCGCTCGACATTAATGGGTACAACAAGGACTGGTCGGCTCGGAGTCAGTGTAATGTTTCTGAGTGGGGTATTCAACTATTCATGCAGCATGGTATCTCAGTGGGCTAGCACTATGAAACCAGCTTCAGTCTGGGCTAGTACAAGCAGCCGCACATACACATACACACGCATGCACGTCGTCATATGAGCGAAATATTCTCAAGCACGTACGACGTTAAATCCAATTTCACCTCACCTCATTAGCTAATTGAAACGTGCATTTGTGATTTGCCCACTGCGCTGTGTAGAGTTACCTCCTTTTGCCCAAGGATTCGATCTAATCCGAAATTCGAGCTTAACATTAACATAATCCTTTTTCTTAGAACCACATCTGCGCTCATACATTTCACAAAAGTTACTATTGCTGACTGTGGC